TTATAGTGTTCATGATTCAAAGATTAATAAAAATCACCCATGATAATTTGGGAGAGCTCTCACTCTTGTGCAGTGGTCATCCAAGGTCAAGGGTCCTTGCAGACTTTGGCCTAGAGATATGCTTGTGAAGGAGTCCAATGAAACATTTATTGTGTGTGCTAATAAGTTGCTTCACATTTTATCTTGTTTCTCTTGTAAATAAGCAAGAACGCTTTTTTTTTTTTTTTTTTTTTTTTTTTGCGGTACACGGGCCTCTCACTGCTGTGGCCTCTCCGGTTACAGAGCACAGGCTCTGGACACGCAGGCTCAGCAGCCGTGGCTCACGGGCCCAGCCGCTCTGCAGCATGTGGGGTCCTCCCGGACCGGGGCACAAACCCGTGTCCCCTGCATTGGCAGGCAGACTCTCAACCACTGCGCTACCAGGGAAGCCCAAGAACGCATTTTTTATTGCTCTTCCTCTGTAGATCAATTCTACCTGGTATTAGTTCCTTTCAGGCTAAAGAACTTCCTTTGATGTTATTTAACAGTGCCCACCAGGGATGAATTTTCTTAGTTTTTCCTCATCCAAAGCTGTCTTGTATTTCACACTCATTTTTGATGGGTACAGAATTCTGTACATTGATACATGTACATGGATACAGAATTCTGGGTTGATAGTTTTAATTTTTTTCCTTCTTTTAAGATTGCATTGTTTTCTGGCTTCTGTTCTTTCTAGTGAGTCATTCTTGTAATACATGTTGTTTTCCTCCGCCTGCCGCCAAGATATTTTTTGTTTTGTTTTCTCTTTGATTTTCAGTAGGTTGACTCTAATGTGTCTAGCTATGGTTTTCTATTTATACTGCTTGGGGTGTTCTGAACTTACTGTTTGTAAATTGATGTTTTTCACCAAATTGGGGGAATTTCAACCTATAGTTTTTCAAAAAATTTTCTGCCTCACTTTCTCCTCTCCTTCTGAGACTTCAGTTACACAGATGTAGGACTGCTTGATTCACTGCGATTCTGTTTTTCTTCCATCTTTCTTCTTCAGATTGGATACTGTCTGTGGACTTGAATTCATCTTCAAGTTGGGTTCTAGCATTTCCATTTTAAACAATATATTCCTTCTCTGCTGAGATTTCCCCTTTTATTCAGTCTTTAAGAACATTATTTCCCTTTTATCCATAGCATATTTATTTGGTTTTAATAGATTAATTAGTAGAGCATGGCTCTTCTTGTTTCATCTTAATCCCACCTACTTCCCGATGTCCCCAGGTATTTTGAAGCAAATTTGAAACTTAATTTCATCTGTATGTAAATAAACTAATACTGGTATCTCTAAAACAAAGGGATTAAAAAAAACAGCCACACTACTATCACACTTTCTGAAAAATAAACAATAATTTCTTAAACATCAGGCACTGTTCACATTTTCCTGAGTCACCTTTTTTCTTTCTTAAAATTTATGATTTGGGGAATTGCCTGGTGGTCCAGTGGTTCAGCCCCGGCTTTCTCCCTGCTGGGGCCCCGGGTTCGATCCCTGGTCAGGGAACTAATATCCCACAAGCCGTGGGGAGCGGCAAAATAATAATAATAAAAAATATAAAATACAATTTATGATTTTGTCCTCTACCTCTTTAGTTTTACTTTTGGAAGTATGTTTTTGAAATCACTGTTATTTGTCTTACAAAGTTTCTCACATTATACATTTTGTTAGCTATGTGTTTTTTTATTGTGTTAAAATACACATACATAAAATTTACCATCTTAACCATTTAAATTTTTAATTTCATTTATCAGTGCCGTGATATTAAACACATTCACATTGTTGTGCAGCCATCACCACCATCCATTCTCATAACTCTTTTCTTCTTGTAAAACTGAAACTCTGCCTATTAAACAGTAACTCTCCACTTTCCCCTCCTTCAGCCCATACTTTCTTTGATTTTTGACCATTTACCTCATATAAATGGAATCATATAGTATTTGTCTCCTTGTGACTTGCTTATTTCACTTTAATATGGTGTCTTCAAGGTTCATCCATGTAGCATATTGCAGAATTTCCCTCTTTTCTAAGGCTGAATAATCCATTGTATGTATATACAACAATTTGTTTATCCATTTATCTGTTGATGGACACTTGGGTTTGTTTCCACATTTTAGCTTTTGTGAATAAGGCTGCTATGAACATCAGTATATAGATTTCTCTTCAAGATTCTGCTTTCAGTTCTTTTGCATATATACCCAGAAGTGGAATTGCTGGGTCATATGGTAATGCTATTTTTAATTTTTCGAGGGACCTCCATACTGTTTTCCACAATGGCTATACCATTTTATATTCCCACCAACAGTGCACAAGGGTTCCAGTTTCTCCACATCCTCTCCAACATTTGGCTGTGTTCTGTTTCTTGATAGTAGCTCTTTTAATGAATGTGATGTGATATCTCTGTGGTTTTAATTGCATTTCTTCAATGATTAGTGATGTTGAGCATCTCTTCACCTGCTTATTGGCCATTTATATATCTTCTTTAGAGAAATACCTATTCAAGTTCTCTGCCCACTTTTGAATTGGCTAGTTATATTCTTTTTTTGTTTTAAAAACGTGCTCTTTTTTTAATAAGTTTTTTTTAATATAAATTTATTTATTTTTGGCTGCATTGGGTCTTCATTGCTGCGTGTGGAGTTTCTCTAGTTGCAGTGAGTGGGGGCTACTCTTCGTTGCAGTGCGCGGGCTTCTCATTACCGTGGTTTCTCTTGTTGCGGTGCATGGGCTTCAGTAGTTGTGGCTCGCAGGCTCTAGAGCACAGGCTCAGTAGCTGTGGTGCATGGGCTTAGTTGTTCCACAGCATGTGGGATCTTCCAGGACCAGGGCACGAACCCGTGTCCCCTGCATTGGCCGGCGGATTCTTAACCACTGTGCCACCAGGGAACTCCCAAGTTATATTCTTGAGTGTAGTTTAACACGATCCTCTGACCTCTGTATTTCATGCAAATTGGTAGCTAGATCTAGAGGTTAATCAGAATTAGATTTTATTTTGGAGCAGCAAAGAGAACAAAAATGTGTAGTATATGTCTTTGTGTGTCTCTCTTATACTAGCTGCTGCTGATCATTGACTAGATATATTGATTTGTTAATGGTTGCAAAGTGGTACTATTTTTGTGCTATCTTTTTTCCATTTATTATATGAAACACTTCCATAAAGAAAAGCTTTCCTTCATCTTCATTACCCTGAGGTACAGCTCGTGTATGCAATGTGTGATAAATGCTTGGTTCTAGCTTTTACTACCAGTTTTCAAAATAATGTGTTGGTTCCCTCACAACCTTCAAAAACGACCATTCAGATATTTTTTGGTTTTGAATATTTAAACATATTTGGTGTGTTCATTGTCCTTACTGATGAAGTATGGCCTCTTTGAGTCCTTTTGTAATGGTAATTTTCAATGTTCCTTGCTCTCTACTGTGACAAGATGTTCCAGACTCTTGTACATTTTGTGTCAAAAGGCTCTGGAGTTGCCATGTTACTTTTATGGGAAAGTAATGTTTTGCAGTCCACTGGTTAGGCACAAGGAGTGCTTCTGACTAATTGGTTGTTATTTCTAAGCCTTTTCTTTGAACAGAGCTATTAAATACTTTTTTTTTAATGACAATATATATCATGAGTTTATATCGATGCTTTCGATTTAAATTCAGGCTACATGGTTTTTACTTCTTCAGTTGCTGTCTGCATCTCTCCTCCCACGTGAAAATCTCAGATGTCAGTGACCCCAATATAATTTATGATTTGCTATATCCAAAATCACAGACAGAAGTCTCAGAATAACAATACCAATAGTAATATAATTCTGAAAACAAATTAAGACTTTTTTTTGCTGTACTTTGCCTTGTGGTTTGTTCCTAAAGAACGTTCATAACAGTTGATTTTTATTATGGTTCAAAGTCATTTAGAGTTTCTCTGTGTTATTCCTTTAGTTGGATACACATTTAGGTTCATTTTACATTGAACTTTTACAAACTGAGTTTTTAAAATTTTATTCAATGTGTGCATGGCTTAAAAGTAAAATATCTAAAGCAGTATATTAAATTCATATTCACGTGTCTGTGTGTGTGGATGCAAGTATATCTTCATATCCACATCTAACTTATCTAAACAACACCTTACTATACATACCTTTCTCCTTGCATTGCCTCTTTTTTTTTTTTAATAGTATTTTCTGGAAATCACTTCATTATAATATTTAGAGCAGTTCCTCAGGTTTCTTTCTTTTTTTGTTTTTTCTTACATCTGATAATTGTGTGGATATACCATGTTGTTTTCAATTATTGATGGACTGTTGGGTTGTTTCGTGTGTGTGAGCGTGTGTTTGGGAGAGATGTGGGTCTGAGCCCCCTCACCCGCCATGTCCCCCCACTTCCTATCATAGTAAGTGTCAGTGAATAGCCATATGCATCATTTTTAAAAAAACCTCTTTTTGGTCTGTGTATATGCGGTAAAGTTTCCTAGAAGTGGGGTTGATAAGAATATGATAATATGCATGTGTGATATTTTGGAAGACATTGCTGAATTTTCCTTTTTAATGGTTATGTTGTTTTGAATGCCCATCATCAATGTATCAGAGTACCTGTTTTGCCACAGCCTTATCAATAGAGCATGTTGTCAAATTTTTAGACTTTTTCCAATTTTATAAGTGAGAAATGATAATCCCATTTTAATTGCATTTCTCTTATGAGCAAGGTCTAGCATCTTTTCATATAAGGGCCATTTGCCTTTCTTTTTCCCCCTTGTGATAAGTTGCAGTTAGTTTTAATATTTTGACATTCGTGGTTTTACTTTGTTTATTGTATTAATTGTATTTGCCATGTAAAAGTTTTAAAAAGTACAGCTATCAATCATTTCTTTTGCTCTACTAACTCTATAGTACATGGAAATAACGTCATGGAAAATATGTTCCAAATGTAAATTAAATATATTTGTGAAAATATACACTATCCTTTGTGATTATATCCTTTGTGTTCTTGCTTCTAGGCAAGGATAAAAGCCATCAATACGTTTTTTGCTAAGAATGGTTATCGATTAATGGATTCTAGTATGTATAGTCCGCCCATTCAAACTCAAGCACAGTATGCCTCACCGGTCTTTATGCAGCCTGTATATAATCCTCACCAACAGTACTCTGTTTATAGTATTGTGCCTCAGTCTTGGTCTCCAAATCCCACACCTTACTTTGAAACACCACTGGTAAGTGAGATCCTTACAGATTAATAAAATTTTTTCACTGAAGCTGAAATTTGAAGAAATCAGCTAGAATTAGAGTTCATGTTTTATTTTGTTTTGTGTTGATATTGGTTACTTTCTGGCTTTTAAATGGTGATAAGGATATTTAATCCCCCATATCAAATATATGCATATGACTAAGTCTAAGAGTTGAGCTATTGGTTCCTATCATTTTATTCTTTAAATGTTGCTGGGTAAATTAATAGACTGGAAAAATCCTGAATGATTTAAAATGATTTTAGTTTTGTGAAACTTTTTCAGAGAGAAATATTCTTTATTAAGTGTTGAACCAGTTGTTCCTTGTTATGTAATTCAAGTGATAACTTGGAGTGAGTATTGCAAATGTTTAAAATTATTTTTGGCTTATCAAAGAAATTGATGCTAGATTAGTTCATCAGAAGTTTCTTATGACCTTCACACAGATTTTTGTCTTTACTATGAATAGCTTTTAAACATTAAAATTTTCTTTTAGGCTCCTTTTCCCAATGGTAGTTTTGTGAATGGCTTTAATTCACCAGGATCTTATAAAACAAATGCTGCTGCTGCTGCTGTGAATATGGGTCGACCATTCCAAAAAAATCGGTAAGATAAAAAACAATAGCTGGAATTTATTTATTTTTAAATTTATTTATTTAAGTTATTTTATTTTTGGCTGTGTTGGGTCTTCAGTTGCTGTGCGCACGCTTTCTCTAGTTGCGGCAAACGGGGACTACTCTTTGTTGTGGTGCACAGGCTTCTCATTGAGTGGCTTCTCTTGTTGCAGAGCACGGGCTCTAGGCGCGCAGGCTTCAGTAATTGTGGCACTCGGGCTCAGTAGTTGTGGAGCACAGGCTTAGTTGCTCTGCGGCGTGTGGGATCTTCCCAGACCGGGGCACGAACCCGTGTCCCCTGCATTGGCAGGAGGATTCTTAACCACTGCACCACCAGGGAAGCCATGTACTCACTTTAACTGACACAATTGGTTAAAGCATTTGAATATCTTTTTTTTTTTTTTTTCCCTGCCTTGAGGCCTGTGGGATTTTAGTTCCCTGACTAAGTTCCCCAGATCAAACCCCGGGCCCACAGCAGTGAAAGCACCAAGTCCTAACCACTGGACTGCCAGGGGATTCCCTGAAGATCATTTTTAAGTGTACAGAAAATTTTACTACATATACACATTCTTAATTGCTTTATGAAGTTTCGAATGAGAACTCTTCATATTGTAAGAATGAAGGATTCTTTATAAACAAAAGATTACTTGTGTTCTTGTAGATGACCCTTAGTTTGGTGATACAGTAATAACAGCAAAATTCAAGTATTGCTAGGACATATGAGTAGAAGTACAGTGAGCTTTAAAAACACACACTGTCCTCTAACCTCCATCCTGTTGTTCCAAAAAGATTATTTAATTTCCATGTGCACACAGAGACAGTGATGTTTAAATCTGGAAAGACCTTTGTTATGATATAGTTTTAATTCATTTTACAGATGAATTGAAGAAAGTGAAAGTTGAAGAGGATAAATACCTTGCTAGGGTTACATGGCTTTTTATCATCAGCAGACCTGAGATTAATACATTTTCTTTTCTTCTACTATAGCTAGTAAAGTTTTTTTCTTAAAAATAATTGAGTTAATGGGCTTCCCTGGTGGCGCAGTGGTTGAGAGTCTGCCTGCCGATGCAGGGGAAACGGGTTCGTGCCCCGGTCTGGGAAGATCCCACATGCCGCGGAGCAGCTAGGCCTGTGAGCCACGGCCGCTGGGCCTGCACATCCGGAGCCTGTGCTCCACAACGGGAGAGGCCACAACAGTGAGAGGCCCGCGAACCCCCCAAAATAATAATAATAATAATTGAGTTAATACAAATGACAGTTTATAACTTCCCTTGTGAGGAGGTACAGATTTCTCATGATTAGAAATAGTAGCTTTGTAAAAATATGTATCTGTTGATTTCACATTTCTTTGAAGAGGTGAATTTTGCTTTAAACAGTTACATCTATGTGAAGTAGACGTCTTGCTTATAAGAGACTAAAAACAATTTTTAGTAACAACAAAAAGTATTGGTGTTTGCGAATGCTTGACTTAAAAATACATTATGTGGGCTTATGGTATTCCTTTATTGTCACTTGAAAGCACTGCTGTGCTTTCAAGAGGTAAAAAAAGAGATAAAAATACAATAAGAGGTAAAAATACAATAAGAAAGCCAAGAATGACACTGAAGTCATTCTTGCTTTTTTAAAAAATATATATTTATTTATTTACTTATTTGGTTGGTTGGTTGGTTGAATGGATGGATGGATGGATGGACCCGGTCTTAGTTTTGGGAGGTGGGCTCCTTGGTTGCAGGAGGTGGGTGCCTTAGTTGCGGCGTGCATGTGGGATCCAGTTCCCTGAGGAGGGATCGATACTAAGCCCCCTGCATTGGGAGCGCGGGGTCTTAACCACTGCGCCACTAGGGAAGTCCCAAGTCATTCTTGCTTATAAGGATATATATCTGGTTTTGAAGATACAGGATAGGTTTAGTATAATTTTGCTTGTTATTCAAAACTACTTGTGTACAATTTTTTGCGTTTGTTTGACCAGTACAGGTTGTTGTTAATTTTTAGTCACAGAAATAATACATGAATACTTCCTTATAAAAATACAGATATTGCAGATGAACTAGAGCCTTTTGACCACCAACCCAAATCCTTGCTTCCTTCTTACTTCTAAGAAGTGACCACTGCCAGGCCTTTATTTTTGTTTATTTAAGTTATCAGTCAAGAGCAGTTTATTACATTAACCTTGTAACAAAACAGCCCAGTGATGATCACTAGACCTACTTAGAGAGAATAGGACTAACTTTCAGAAGTCTGGGCAATTTTCTACCTTTCATACTTTATCTTTCTGTCACTTTCCTTCTTCCTTTACATCTTTTATCACTTCTTTCTTTCATCATCCTTTTTTCTTTTGCCAAGACTGCGATTGTTAAGTCCCTCTCTGTGAAGGGTAAGATTATGAGATCTGAGGGCTGTTAAACCTAATAACTTGTTTACTGGGTGTATTGAAATGCAATGAGAGAATTTCAGTGAGTGATAGTTTCTGAACAGATACATAAACAGCAATATCTACCTCATGAGGTCATTTTCAGATATGATGGATAATGTAAATTAGTTTGTGTTAGTTGACATACTGTAAATTTCATTGCTATTCAGAAACTATTTTGTAATGCATAAGTAATTATCTGGAAAAGTATTGTATATGAGACTTAGCCCAACATTATAGCCTAATTTTTATGTTTAAGTTTTAGTAGTAGTAATCTAATTTGTTATACTCTCTAAAGAGCTAGTAGGATAGCTGGAGATGCTATTGGAATTAATGTTTAATTGTTCATAATTATGAGGTTTAAAATCCCTATTCAAAGAACCAGGAATTTACAGTGTGTTACTAATATTATAAATTTGTAACTATGAAAATAGACTGTAAAAAAATGGAGTATATAAACTGCAAGCAAGGGGCTAAATAGAAATCTAATACTTCCTTTTTTAATCTCCTGTAAAGCCAGGGTCCTCAGTTTCTTGGGCTTACTTTAGATGTTTTCACTATTGATTAAACTGCATCCTCTCTCCTTTACCATACCCTAGCTTCATCTGCTTACAAATTGTTAAGAGAGTTGGGTACTTATACCCATCATCCAAGATGAAAGCTACTTTTGTTAGATGTAGGTGGTTTTTGTTTTTGTTTTGTTTTGCTTTGTTTGTCTTTGGTTTGGTTTGTTTTTTTGTTTTTTACCAGATTCCATACCTTAATTCATGAAGTCATGCCAGGCTATTAGTTGCGTTATATTTTCCTAGTTTTTTGGTCACTCATCTTTGTTGGATTTTTTTTTTTTTTTTTTTCCGGTCCCTGGCCTCTCACTGTCGCGGCCTCTCCCGTTGCGGAGCACAGGCTGTGGACACGCAAGCTCAGTGACCATGGCTCACGGGCCCAGCCGCTCCGCGGCATGTGGGATCTTCCCGGACCAGGGCGCAAACCCGTGACCCCTGCATTGGCAGGTGGAATCTCAACCACTGCGCCACCAGGGAAGCCCTTTGTTGGATCTTTGAACAACTGATTTCATTTGGAGAGGGATGCTTAGTAGGAAGCTGGGATTTTAATATATTCCACTGTTCCTTACTTTTAAAAAAAATTATCAGTCCCCTAAAGAGTTTTTTTAGACTTTTCCCCCAATTCCTCCATATGAAAATTTAATACTAGAGATTATTGTATATCTATTTATGTAATGTATGCCAGTTCTTACTCGCTTTGGGGGTATTGTTGCTCCATTGAGAATGTATGGCATAGACTCAATAAGCTTCCAGCCTGGCTAATTTAGATGTGTCAGAACTGCAGTTTGTGTTAAAGAAATTAGCTAAAATCCTAGTTATATCCTAAATTTGGGGGTAGAAGTAGCCTTATCTTGAAGAACTTTGGACCTCCCAAATCTCTCCAAACAGCTTTTTTTAATGTAAAAATTCTTTGTCTTTTAAAAATAATACGTCTGAGACATTAAAGGGTTTACATTTTTACAACACAATGCTTCTGTGTCCAGCCCAGTTTATGGAAAATCAGAATACAGCAGAAGGCAATTTTTAACTTGGCCTGTTAAGAGTCTCTACCATTAAGAGAAAATATTTTCCATTTTAATTTATCCTTTCACATATATTGTCTTATATTTCTTATAGTGTGAAGCCTCATTTTAGGTCAAGTGGTTCAGAACACTCAACAGAGGGCTCTGTGTCATTGGGGGATGGACCATTGAACAGATCTGGTTCAAGGAACTTTCCAACTGAACGACATAACCCTACAGTAACAGGGCACCAGGAGCAAAGCTACCTTCCAAAAGAGACTCCCACTTTGCAGATGGAACAGAATGGGGACTACGGTAGGGGCAGGTAAGGAAATATGGTAATAAATATGGAAATAAGGTATATGAAAATTCTTTAATCATAATATGAATGTTTGAACACCACGATCTAGTGATTTTTAAATTTAATTATTGGTATATAGTTATGCTAAATAAATACTTTATTCATGTAATATGTGTTACTAGTTTTTCATAATTAAATTCAGAATGCCCATATAGCTCTGAGTCAGAGGTTTATAAAAGTTATTCTGAAGTTCTTTACAGTTCACTAAGGAAAGATTAGCTTAGAAAGATAAGATTCCATCTGCATCATAGTTTTAATTTCTAGCAACATCTAAACTGTGGGAATGGGGTTATATGTTATCTACCCTTCCTAAACAAAACAAAAAAAATGAACCCTAATATGCTTCTGATTTGGAGGGAGCACTGCTAATAAAAATGGGCCCAGCTTACTTAGTGGTAGTGGTGGTAGTAGGCGAAGTTTTTGGTAGATTAGCTCAGGATCTCTTCAGAAGAAAATATATCTTTTAATAATAAAGGAGATTTATTATTAAATATAAATATAGATACTTAAAATAGAAGTTCACCCATCTTTGATAGAATGTATACATTTGAAGAAACTTATGAGTTGTCCCTCCCACCTGCTTCCCCACCCCCACTCCCTTTTGTCATTGTTAAAAGGAGAACTCTCTTCAGAGGTCGAAGACGTCGGGAAGATGAAAGGATCCCAGTAAGTTTTTTTTTTTTTTAAATCTTTAATTACATACGTTCAATTTTTTTTTTTCTTCTGTGATTTACTATGGCGTTGACTTCTGGTGTACCTTTCTGGGTTTTTGTTTTATTGATTATAATGTTGATTATAATTAGAGGTTGTTCTTGACCCTGAAATATCCACCATCACCACTACCCCTCACCCTTAAAGCACACGTATAGTTAGAGCTTTGACCTGTGTTGCTCACTTTTAAAAAATATTACTTGAATACCTAATCTGTTCACATGGTTTAAAATAAAATATATGAAAATATTCCATGGAAAGTTTAATTATTGCTTTATTAATGGAAATTTAAAGAGTTTCAATCTTTTGATTTTACAATGCTATCACAAACAGTGCAGTGATAACCTCATATAACCATCAATTCCTATGTGTGCAGTAGTTATCTGAAGGAGAATCCCTAGAAGTGGGATTTCTGAGTCACAGTTCAGTAAGTTGCTGCCTAATGGCTTTCTATAGGGGTTGTGCTGATTTTCACTCTGTGAAAAAAAGTTTGTTTATCCATAAGCCTTACAAGGTATATGATTTTTTGCCAGTCTGGTAGCATATGTGATTCACTTTTAAAGCTCTGTTGGAAACTGTTATACTATTTATTAATTGTTACTATTATTAATTGTTACTTAGTGCTGATTCTTATATTTGCCAATCCTGTAAAACCACTTCGAGATTTTTAAAAATTTTTTTATAGTTCTAGGCAGGTTCTTATTTGAATCCTCACTTACCTAGCTTCAAATTATTCATATTTTTGTGTGTGTGTGTGGTTTGTTCATGGTGAATGTTTGCCATTTCTTAACTGTGGTCAAAAGGAGTTGAGGAATAAAAATAGTATAGGAAGACATGGAGGTCTGAAGAAAACTCTGCCTGGAATTTACATTTATATCATAAATGTGAAATATAATACTTACTTTACATGTATAAGTAGTGAATTATATACATATATAATAGTATACTATGTAGTGTACATATAATATACATATAAGTATACAGATACCACATGTTTAAGCAGTGAAAAGGTACAAATTTTCAAAGAAGAAAAATATTGCATTATAACACAAAGAATAGTCCTTGGGGCAAACTGTGAACCTTTTAAAAGTGTTGGTTTTTCATTTATAGCTTTCTGTACCATGGCAGCCTTGAGACTTTAGGCAACACCTTTTTTAGGATACCATTGTAGCAGTCTATGTGAATCCTCAAGTGGCCCTGAACAATTGAGGAGAGGAGAGATTAGGTTAGAGGTCTGTTTAATATGTTGAAAATACCTGGTTTGAGGATTGAAGATTAGGACTGAAGAAACAGGAGACCGGCATGCTTCTTAGTACAAAGGGCAGGGTGGGGGTACCCTTGTGCAGTAAGGAGATCTTAGCTAGAGGTACAGTTTAGGATTTTTAAGCTTACATGTAGTAATTAAAGTTACAAGAGTAGATGAGGTCATGCAGGGGACTCTCAGTAGAGTAAGTGATTTTAAAAGGGGCCGAGAATGGAACTTGAGGAACATAGTAGCTGTGGGGCTGAAAAATGTGATTATTCATTTTGTTGTTTGAAGTATCCAAGAGATCCAAGTGGAGATAGCTAATAGGCAAATTGATATCTGGGTTTCAGGCAAAGATCTGGTCTGAAAATATTTAAAGCGTACAACCTAGTGAGTTTTGGTAAATTTTCAGAGTTGTGCAGCCAAAAATTCACCAAAAAGTGAAAAAGATTGTTTTAAGAGTTGTTTGCACATAGGTAGTAGTTGAAGCTGTGGATAATGGATATCACACAGGGAGAGTATGGAAAGGGAGAAAGAGTGGCAATCATATAGAAACCAAAACCATCCAAAGCGGTGGTCGGGGGAGAAGAGCACGTGCTTGTCAGATCTGAGAATGAAGGAGAGGAGGTATCAGAAGCTAACGGAAGAATGAGCTCCCACAGCAAAGAATGTTTACCATGCCAAATGCTAGAGTGAGGTCAGGGGAAAAAAAGTCTGTCAGATTTTGCATTGTGGAAGAAGGCATTGGTGACTTGTCAGAGCAATTTTAGTGGTGTGGTGAGGGAGTAGAGAAGAAGATACAGGTGAGAGGCTTGTCAGAGGCTATAGAGAGTGGTGGGTGGAGGAGAAAGATGATTTTCAAGGAAGGATATTGTTTTCCCTTGAGACTATAAAAGGAGAAAAGATGATGGCAAATTTAGAGAGTGTAGGGGTTTTTGTGTTTATTTTTGTTATGGAAGAGGGTATAGCAAATTTAGAAAGCAAAGAATAGTGGAAATTGATTAGAAGGTTTAAAGAGTGTGGCAGAGTTTGCAAAAGAACCAATAGAAGGAGCTGACTAAAGATAGGTCAGATTGATCAATACTAATGAGAACTCAACTAAAATGAGAATCCAGGAATTTATAGGGGAACAGTTCTCTTCATTAGGTGGTGTTTGGTTTGTTTGTTTCTTAGAGCTTTCAGCTTCTGTGGTGCAGGATTAGAGAATGAGATGAGCATGTAACCTGTTTTTTGATTTGTGTCTTTTAGAGACCCCATCCTTCAACAGCTGAAGCAAAGGCTCCAACACCAAAGTTTGACTTATTAGCCTCAAATTTTCCTCCTTTACCTGGAAGTTCATCAAGAACGCCAGGTGAACTTGTTTTGGAGAGTAGGATGTCTGATGTTGTTAAAGGTGTCTGCAAAGAAAAGGTAAACACTGAAGCATCCAATCTTTATCTTATGGGACCAATCTTTTGCCTTTGTTTTCAGGGTTATTTAAAATTTTATTTGCACTCAATGTTTATTTCTATCATAGTGTTTATTCATGGGTTTTTAGCATACTCTGAGTATTATGAGAAGATTTGTGATAAAGCTACACAAGGTCAATAAAATGTTTCTTCACCTTTGCCTGTCTTTGTATCAGTCAACCCAGCTTGGTAGAACTAATTTATGAAAGCTGAATGGAAAGTGTCATTTCCACTTAAGTGCATATATCGATAATTAAGTGATAACGCAAATGAATTCTAAGCTACTCTGGTAAACTCAGTCTTCCAAATAAATGGAGAGTTGATGTCAAAAGGTTGGGATAACCCATCCTACAATGTTTTTTTAAGTGTAGACCTCTTTATATGCTAAATCCTCATGTCCCACAAAACAAAACCTTTTGTTTCTAATTCAGCTTCATTTTCAAGAGTACATGTACATAGTATATCTAGGCTTATAATGAAAAATAGTAGTCCCCTGCTACCACTTTCAACTCTGGCTTTTTCTCCTGACATTTATCCCTGTATATCTAATTAACATGTTTATACTGCTCCTTCTTAGATTTTTCAGTTTTAGACGTTGTCTATTAACTTTACATTCTAGAAGCTAAGGGTTTAGCTCTCTTAAACCAATATGCTTTTCTCATCCTCTCAGTATATTGTACTTCATCATATCTATGCTGCCATCAATTACAAGATGCCCCATTATTTTGGTATCACTAAGAAAGTAAAAGACACTGCCAGTTAGACTAGGTCATGCCATCATTTGTATGTCACACCTCAATATTGCATCATTTTTTTCCATAACTGAGGCTTATGGTATATTGTTATTATGTCTCCTTTCTTATACTCTGCACAGCTGTGTTCCTGGGACTTCACTGTCATCCTGGGAATTTTCTTTACTCTTCTTTGGTGGATCCCTTCTTTTTCTTACTCTTGTTTGACTTTCCCAAATTATGGTGGGTCACATCTTCCCAGGCTTCCTGTATAAGGTTTTTAGTATAAATTTCTTGAGATCTTGCATTCTGAAATGTTCTTCTGTTCTCACACTTGATCAGTAGCTTATCTCTGTAGAATTCTCTATTAGAAATCATTTTCCTTCAGAATTTTGAAGGTATTTCACTATCTTCCCTTGTTAAAAAAATTATGCAATTTTGTAATGTTTCACCACTTCTTAGACCTTTTTTAAAAAATATATATATTATTATTACATTTTCCCCACGAAAGTCAGGCTGTCTTATAATTTAAAAACTATTGTAGTTCTAGTGGCAGTGTTTTTTCTTATATAAAATAATGGTGTGTTTTAAAGTTGATGGCTTCTCAGATTTGGTGAGGTATGATACATAGACACATTTATTTGTTTGTTTGTTTATGGCAGCATTGGGTCTTGGTTGCTGCGCACAGGCTTTCTCTAGTTGCGGCAAGCGGGGGCTATTCTTCATTGAGGTGTGCAGCCTTCTTATCGTAGTGGCTTCTCTTGTTGCACAGCATGGGCTCTAGGCACGCAGGCTCAGTAGTTGTGGTGCACGGGCTTAGTTGCTCCACAGTATGTGGGATCTTCCCGGACCAGGGCTCGAACCCATGTGCCCTGCATTGGCAGGCGGATTCTTAACCACTGCGCCACCAGGGAAGTCCCCACATATATATTTTTAAAGAATAATAATAAAGTGTACTTCTTATAATTCCAACCCACAAATATGGGATGAACACTTAATTTGATATTGGACCTTGTATGTTGAACCTCTGATTTTCTTGTTTGGCTTTTCTAATTTTTATCTTTGTACCTGTCTATATTTTCTACAAAGTTATCCTGAATGTTACCTTTTAAACCTATTGAAATTTTAAAACATTTTAATCCCATACCCCTAAAAACCTATTGAAATTTTTATTGTGTCAGTCGATTTTAATTTCTAGGGCTCTTTCTTTTTTTTTTTTTTTTTTTTTTTTTTTTACTCTCTCCAATTACACTTTTAGGATCGAGGCACTAGTTATATTCTATTTTTGCATTTCACAGTACTTAGCAAAATGTGGACACATAGTAGGTCCTTAATAAATGTATACTGTTGATAGATTTTCCTTCCAGCATACTTCACAGGACACTGCAAGCTATTCCAACATTAGCTGGGCAAGAAAGAGAACCTCTTTCTTGATATTCGTTTTTTTACTTGTGGTAAAATGCACGTAACATAAAATTTATCATCTTAATCATGTTAAGTGTGTACAGTTAAGTAGTGTTAAATGCATTCACATTGTTGTGCAGCCAGTCTCCAGAACTGTTTTTATCTTGCAAAACAAAAATGGTTTACCCATTAAATAGCTCACATTCCCCCACTTCTCTCAGCCCCTGGCAACCACCATTCTGCTTTGTCTCTGAATTTGACTACTCTAGGTATCTCATATAAGTGGAATCAAACAGTATTTGTCTTTTTGTGACTGTCTTATTTCACTTAGCGTAATGTCCTCAAGGGTCATTCTTTGTCGTAGTGTGTATCAGTACTTCATTCCTTTCATTGTGCAATAATATTCCACTGGATAGTTACACCACATTTTGTTTATCCACTCACCAGCTGAATATTTAGCTTGTTCTCACTTTTTGGCTCTTATGAATAATGTTATTGTGAACATTTGTGTATAAGTTTTTGTATAGACATGTTTCCTCTTGGGTTTATAACTAAGCAGAATTGCTGGGTCATATGGTAACTCTATATTTAACTTTTTGAGGAGCTGCCAGACTGTTTTTACAAAGTGGCTGCATCATTTTACATTTCCACCCTCAATGTATGAGAGTCCCAATATCTACTACCATCACTAACATTGATTATTGTCTGTCTTACTGATTATAGCTATCCTAGTGAGTGTGAAACGGTTTCTCATTGTGGGTTTGATTTGCATTTCCCTAATGGACAGTTATGTTGAGCTTTTCATGCATGTGCTTATTGGCCATTTGTTTATCTTCTTTGGAGAAGTATCTATATAAGTTCAATTTTGAAATATGTTTCCACTTTAAGGATAAGGAAGAGTTGAGAGTTAGTTGCCCAGTGACTGCAGAGGATGAACAGACAGACTGCACCTCTGCCCAGCAACTCAGTATGAGCACCAGTCCTCCATGTACAGCTGAGCTTTCTGTATTAAGGTACAATCTCAAAGTAGATGATCTTTCATATTAAGATTACTTTTTCTTCTGATCATTTCTCAGGTGTTTCTTTGTGCTCTATACTAAGCCTAATGTCAAGTTCTTTTTCCCATAGCACAACTCAGCAAGAAAAGGATCTAGAGGATTCTGCTGTTCAGAAAGATGTTCCCAACCAGACAACTATACCAGTTTCTTCCCCGAGTACTGCAAAGCCATTGAGAACAAATACTGCTTCACCGTGTAATAGTAACATAAGTGCAGCTGTAGCTGTGGCCCTACAGGTAACTTGATGAATTTAGTTTAGCGAGAATAAAACAATAGGTTAAATAATGGGAAATTTTGTTTTTCGCATAACTCTTTGCTAGAGCAGAGTCATTTGGAAATAGCCCAATTGGGGCTGGTTGCCCGCATCAAAAAAGGAATTTAAAGTCACTCTGAAGAAATTGGAAATTTTAGCCTTGTTGAGGGAATGAAGAAATTACTGTTTATTCTGTTTCTTTTGATTGCTTTATTTCCAATCAGATTGTGGTTAAGTGAAGCTTCCTTCTCATTATTGATGACTGTACCTTTTTTTGGGCCAGGGTATAGAGGCTTTGAGCCTCTTGAAATTCTTTTTTGTATAATGCTTAACAATTCTATGAAACCCATGAGGAGCCACTGCCATTTTTATTCAATTTCCAGAATTGTTTTTATAATTTGAAAGGTATAGAAAAGCAGGGGAAAAAAAGCCACAGAATTTACCTATAAGTCTTTCATTCATTGATATAACTAGTGCATTTTTGGTACAGCTCTTTCTTTTTTCTAGGTTAAGAACATTTTATCTTGGCTTTTAATAATAACGATAATAATAATAGAATAGCACCTACCACTTATGAAATGCCTACTATATGCTAGGACCAGTACTAAAGACTTCTTTTATGCTTTAGCCCATTCTCACAGCATCCCTATTCTCCTCCTTTTCAGATGAGGTAATTAAGAGTTTATATTATTGATTTCCAACTGCTCTGCTGAGATTCTTGTGGTATCTCTCTTATGGTTCTTTGTAGTCAGGGAAGAGAGAATGGAACCATTTTATTTCGTCATGTGGATGTACCATTATTAATTTAATCTGTTCTTCCTTGTTAGCCATTTAGGTTTCTAGGTTTTTTTGCATCATTATAAACATTGCTGACTTGTATATCCTTCAAATAAATATCTCAAGTGAAATTATTATATCATACATAAATTGCTAAGACTTTTTAATTACATTCAACAAATTTTATTTTTAAAGATTGTACCTGTACACTTTAATAGCAGTGTATAAGAGACTGCCTAGTGCCCTTTCCTACAAGATAACTTACTGATTTCTTGTGCTTAACACTATTCTTTTTGTACTTTATTATTTAGAGAATATGTACCATAAATGTTTTTGTTTCTTATCTTTACTTCAAAGGAACCTCGGAAGCTAAGTTATGCTGAAGTGTGCCAGAAGCCCCCTAAAGAGCCATCTCCAGTTCTTGTACAGCCACTGAGAGAACTTCGCTCCAATGCAGTATCTCCCACCAAAAATGAAGAGAATGGAGCTCCTGAGAAGTCCTTCGAGAAACAACATGAGAAGCCAGAAGCAAGGGCTAGTAAGGATTACTCTGGCTTCCGAGGCAATGCCATTCCCAGGGGAGCAGCTGGAAAAATCAGGGAACAGAGACGCCAGTTTGGCCATAGGGCTATACCTCAGGGAGTGACTCGACGTAATGGCAAAGAGCAATACGTGCCACCCAGATCACCAAAGTAAACAAAAACAAAAAAACTGTTCAAAAACTTCTCTCTCTTCCCATTAAACTTGAGCCTGGCTATATTGAACTGTTTTGGAGGGGAGGGCGTGGCCAGGAAGGAAACAAGAGAAAGTACATCCTTAAATCATTATGGATTTTGGAGTTGTGAGCTATAGAATCCCAAAATTCATCTCGAAAGTGATTTTAAAATGCTGGAGGATTCCAATCAGTATAAATATATATATATATATATGTATACATATATAAAAATATAATTTTTCTATTTTTGTTTTTGATTTTAATTTGCAGAGATCTTCTGCCTGGAATCAATTTTGAGGGTTCAGATTTAGCTTGGGAGTAAAACACATTATACATCCTTCAGTATAGGAGATGAGGGAGTGAGAGAAAATATTTTTTGAAGAAACATTTCTGTAAAATTAGAAATTACTTTTTTTAATCTATTTAAAGTTTGGCTTGGAGAATGCCATTTCTGCCTATATGGCCTTGTGTTGCAAAACAGATCAGTGGCTGGGGTGACTGTTGTGGTGTGAGTGTGTGCAAGTATGATTGAAGCCAAATCTGTTGTCATGTTAGTAAATGATTTGAAAACTGAATGTAATACTTGAGTAGATTTTTTTTTTTTTCCAGTTTGAAATTTAGTCTGTCTTTTTGATCTTACTAATATTTCATTCAACAAGCTGTTAAACTCTGATTGTACTTGGGGATGTGACTACCAATCAGTTTGATACTCAAGGAAAGAATGGGGGTTATTTGAAAAATTAAAATTTTGTGTTATATCTGAGGGGGTGGGTCAAATGGAGCTCAGAGGTTTAAGCTGCCCTGTGATTCTTCTTCCCCCCCTAAAATAGGAAACGATTTCTTTTTTTTTTTGTTACTTTCTTCATTACTCTGTTCTTTGACTATCCACCCCCAAAAGCAAAATAACCAATCACCTACAGAATTGTATGTTTCTAGCTGCCTCGCTCAGTCTAGTCAAATCATATAACTGTTCGAAATTTCTGACTTGAACATTAAAGTATTTTACTCTTCTGGTCATGTATTTAGAACTTTAGATCCCAGAATGATAGGGCAGACTGACCCTACAGTAATTTATTTGTGTTAGTGTTAAAGATGAAACATTGTAGCTGACTCTTAAAGTGTTAAATAGTATAGATGTAAAAAGAAATTTCTTTTTAAAGGTTTAATTTGGGGACAACTTTTTCTGTTTACAATGTATTTATCACCTTCCTTCTTTCCCTTTCTCAAAAAAAAAAAAAAAAAAGCAGTTTGGAATTCACAGAAACAGAACCAGCAAGTCACAAAATTTTTGAGTTAAGGTTAGAAAGATAGTTAAAATTAACATATAATTTCTTAGTGGATAAAGTTGTAGCTCTCACATTAAATAGGCAAGTTTACATGCTGGTGTTTAGAAAATGGCTAAAAAATTAAAAACCATGTTGCATTAATCTGTTTTAAGTCATACCATTTTCAGAGTTCTATGTAAGGTGGGGTTTTGTTTTCTTTTTAGGGATAGTTTGTGATAGTAATAACTGTCCCTTATGTTAGTGAATTACATATGTACAAATTGAAACTGTAAATTGTGAACACTGGAAAGCACCATTGTGACATAGAGTAAACATCTTAGTAATATATTAAAATGAATGTAAATGAGGGTTAAAATTACATTACTGTGAAACTCATCTTCCAACTCTAAGTTAAGCTTTGGAGATTTGTATTAGTAGGTAACTGTTCAGAGCTTTGAAAACACCGCACATTTCTGTACAAGCCAGAATTATCATTTCTTTGTAACTTATTATTCAGCTTGGCAATTGCTTTTGATTTGGTGGATTGATAACATGATATAATATATTTAAGCAGTTTGAAACTATTCATTTCTACACACTATTTTCTACTAAATGAAACATACCATAAAACTACCTGTGCTGAAATTTGGGGGAAGTTTAGGTCCTTTAAAAAAAAAAAGTATTAATAATCACTGACTACATCTATGATAAAAGTGCTTATTTTGGTTTACTTAGATAATGCTGCAGCTGGTGGAAATGATAAACGTTTAAAGTGTTAACACTCTGTGAATGTATTGGATTTAAGAGAATAAACATTTTACAAAAATCGCTTGGTAAGGATTATAAACTTAATTATTGCACTTAGATGAAACAGTACTTTTTTTTTTTTTACAATGTGTCACAGAAATAGGCCTATATTACTTGTATCCTTGTATGACTTGCTGTTAGTCTACCCAACTTCTAAAAACTAAATGTTCTAATTGATACACAAGAAAAGAGTTCTTTTTCAAGAAAGCAAGTGTGTTCTTGCTTTTTCCCAGAAGGTGTTATTGAAAGTAGAAACTTAAAGGCATGACCATTTTAAAATTTCATATTAAATATAATGTTTTTCAGTTAATTTGCCTCATTACAGCTAATAGTTCTCATTTTGATGGGATGTATAGGGAAGAATAATGTGTGTGTGTGTGTGTGTGTGTGTGTGTGTGTATATATAATATATATATTCACAATATGTATTTAGCGTTTATTTTATTATATCAGATTTAAGGTTTGTATCTAAATGATGCCTGTGAGTTGTGTGAAACTGATGGCTTTTTTGTCCAGCATTACTCTGTAACTGTTGAGGGTCAGGCATTCATTGTAGTTTAACTATTTATTTGGTTCTTTAGAAGGAGGAATTTAAATGTCAAGTTTTTCTCTTCATCCTTATGACTTAACGTGTCCTTGGGTTGTTGGAGGGTAAAAGTAGATACAAATGATCTTGAGTGTATGGTTGTGATCTTCTGCCATACTTCTTAAACGCATGAGAACAAGAGTCACACAAGTTCATCACCTTGCACTTCACAGAGAAGGTATATAGATAGAGATATGGCAAAACCTGCCTCCATTTTCTATCCAGATAATTAAGGTTTTCATGGTATCTAGGCCTGTCTTTAATCTGAGTAATTTCATTTTTGCAAATATAGACACTGGCATTCAAAGGAATGATCCATCTAAATTTTTTTCAACTGGATTTTGGAAGAAGATAAGATCTTTCAGTGATATGGTTTTATTGTTCTTATGTGCTCAGTTTGCATGTGATCAGACGACATGCAGATTTATTTATTTTTGGTTTCTAAAATTAAGGTATCTTGAATATTGCTGTACATTCCTTTTTCTTTTGAAATACCAGGTTGGCTTTGGAGAAGGTGTAATGAGGGAGTATTAGCATCTGCTGGAGCAGAGACTAGTATTTAAAAGTTACTGAACACTTTATAGTTTTATTAGTTATGGCCTTACATATTTAGTCTTTTGGCTTAAATGTCCATTGGTTTTACTTTGATACAGTTGAGCAGCACTGGGGTTAAGTCTTATTTATGTTGGCCATGTATATTAACCATATTTTAAAAGTACTGTTTTGTTTTTACAGAAAAGGTAAAATGCGAAAGAGGAGTTTTTGTAAATTCTTAACTACAATGTATGGTGTTCTTTCCTAAGTTTTTATATTTCCTTACAATTTGGTGGCCATTAATTTAACTTTGGGCTTTTTGGTGTATGCTAATTTAGTCTGAGATTTCAAGAAGATACATAGACATTTCAGTCCTCATTAATTGAGGACATTTTAAGAAGTTGAAAGAATTTGTTTTCAAGTTGAGAGTGTATTCTTTTTTAAATTCCACCTAATTATTAAATAGTTTCAATTTTATTTTTAAAAGCTGTGAATTGTTGAGTAGAGGGTTCCTGAAAGTACAAGTGAGATATCAACAGGCTGTGTATACAACGAAATGGTTTTATTTTCAGTTTTGAAGCACAAAACACTGATTAGTGTAAGAAACAACCCACATCATTATTAGGTTTTGTTTTTTGTTTTTTGCCTGATTCAGGTGTGAGTGATATCTCTTAAATGTTGGGAGTCAGAACCAGTTATCTGGCTTCTCTTGTCCATTGCTTAGGTTTGTTCTTGTCAAAACTGCACTTCCCCTCCCCCCCCCACCCGGCAAATGGTGTGACACATGCTCATGCATATTATGTTATAATGAGTACATCGTTGTATTTGTATTTTTGTTTTCAACATTGCCAAGGTGCTATGGGAAATTAACACAAAATTAGAAAAAATAAAATTCTTAAAAAGCAGGACTGGTTTCCTTTTCTCCAGGTGGCTTATCTCTGATGGCTACTTGTATTTACTTTCTGATTAGTTTTTATGTTGCCGACTCTCTAGTTCTATTCTGGTTTCAGCTATTATTTTGTTTTTGGGAGCGGGGTATGGATTGTGTGATATTTCATCTGCACAGTGAGGGTAGAGAGCTAGAAGATTCAGCTCTGTGATTCTGGGGTTTTCTTAAATTCTTTTAGTGTCAGAAGCAGTTATTGAAGGGGAGAAAAATCACAGGGCAATGTGCAGCTTAAGGGTTTGCCTTTGTGGGTCAGATTATGGCCTGATTTGAGTGTGTAAATTCTGGGTCTTTAAATTTCTGTTTCCAAGAGAAAGCCTCTTGGTTACCTTTACCTTTTCAACCACATCTTTGATTGCAAACCCTAGAACTAAAGGGTTTGGGGGAGCTTTTTAAGGGAAGGTTTACTGGGAAATTTAAATGAGTCTTTTAATCTTTTTTTAAACTATGATAACGGCAAAAATGGAAAAGCTGAGCAATCTCTGGCTTTTTTTTAACAGCTGGTATCTGCAAATTAATGTGACAGCTCAAATTTTATTGAATATAGCATTGCTAAAAACCCCTGAAGTGTTCATAGCTGTTCTGCCACAGTTTATTCTTGAATAGTAGAAATCTAGGTCTTTTAAAATATAGGCTAATTTCAAATTAGATTTTCTAATTCTCATATATTCAGAAATGTTTATTCCACAAGTTATGTGTTATGAGTGTGTTTATAAATAATACATATAAAGGTAACATTTAATGTGAACATTCACTTTGATGATGACTTAGTAGCATTGCCCTTTCAACAGCTAAAACTTTTATTTTGCTAATGAACATTTATCTTAATGAAGATAGCTGATATCAGTGAGCAAAATCATCCCAGTAATAACAGGTTTACAGGGGAAACATGCTAACAAAGCCTTAGGGCTTTCTATCAGTGTGTTAGTGAGTTTATTTGGCCAAGAGAGGAGGTGCATAACTTAAATTTCTTCTTTACCATATCAGGAACACACTGTAATTGTGTATTATTTTAGGTGGACTAATGACCAATTGATAAACTTAGTTATGTAGGCTTTTGAGTTGTATTAAAAATGAATGGATTTATCAAGAGTCATATCACTGAGATACTTTATATATTTATGCCTTGTTAGAAAATATTAACCGAAGTATGTCTGCAAGTTTAAATTTCAGTTTTATGCCTGGAAGTTTTTATAAAAAGTTTAACACTACTAGAGGATTGTGAATTTCCTTAAAAATCTCTGGAATGAAAACCATCAAGGGTGTCTTTAGTTTGTGTGAGATGTTTTCACTTTCTTCATAATGCTCCATTTTCTTCTGGTGTTGTGGGAAGGAACAAGCTTCCTAAATGTTATCTTTTAAATTCATTTTTGGTAGCTGTTACGCAGATCTTTGAAGCTGCTGTACTTCTGTTTCCTCTGCATACCTGCTGTATCAGACTT